TTAACCCTTCCCTGAAGATTTCTGCCTTCTTTCATTTGCACTATGTCAAAAGGGCAGTTTTGGATCCTCAAGGAACTAAAATCCTGTCCCTTTTTAAATGTTCTTTGAGTTTGGGGAACAAAACCAAGTCTGAAAGGCCAAGATCAGGACTGTCACAGGACAACCCTTGCTTCTTGGAAGAGACAAGCATTGTAGTGATGGGAAAAATGTCCTTGGTGCACTTTTCTGGCCTTTTTCTCATCAATGAAGTTTTCTGTTTTCTTCAGACTTCTTCATAAGCCCCTGTGATCGTCCTGTGTCCTTTGAGAAAATCTATTTAAGAGTACCCCTGTTGTTATGTGCCATGGAGTCGGTTCTGACTCATAGTAACCCTGCACAGGGTTTCTGAGGCTGTAAATCTTTACGGGAGCAGAAAGTCTCATCTTTCTCCCACGGAATGGCTGGTAGTTTTGAACTGCTGACCCTGAGATTAGCAGCCCAATTCGTAACCACTACGCTACCAGAGCTCCTAGGGATCCCAAAACAACAGTTGCTCTAACCTTTTGAGGTAACCTCTCGGTTTTGAATTCATCTTTCAAGTCTTCTTCTTGGCCTTTCTTAAAATGCTTGATCCACCTAAAAACTTGCTTTATGTGACACAAAATTCCTGTCAAGTTGCAAATCTTCAGTGATTTGGGAAGGTATTCATTGAATTTTGTTAAAGATTTGATATTAGTTCTGTCCTAAAAATCTTTTTTTGTTGTTCCCCCATGGGAAAAAGTTGTTTGTTTGTTTCCTTTAAAGCATCCTAACAAGACTAAGACAAGTGTATTACTAAGAGAACTTGTCTGTAGTCATCCATTGGTTGTAGAGACATCAAACACATTTTGTATGGAATAAACCCATGCATGTATGAACTGGAACCCTAGTAACAATAATTTTTTACTTCACCCATGTATGTTAACATGTCCTGAATCAAATTCAAGAGTGGGAGTCCTTTCCCTTTGATCTGGTCAACCCTTTTTTCCTCAGCCCTCTTCAGAAATCAAGTTTCAAGGGATAGGGATTATTTATCTACTTAATGCTGTATCCTCAGCCCCTAAGATAGTATTGGGCTTTCATTCACTAAATCAGTAAATAGTGATGGAATGCCTACCATGTGCCAGGCTTTTGGTGAGGGGGCAGTTTGATAGTCACTGTGTCTGCTACATGAAACCTACATCCTAGTTGGGAAGATGGGGGAACAAACACATACATATTAGACAAGCAGTGAGAGCGCTCAGCCTATAAAGAGACAGGGAAGGGGAGGAGAGGCACCAGGAACTCTCCTCCCCTTCCTTGTTAGCGGTGCCTCTCCTCCACACAGGGTACTCACAGGCTTTCTCTAGTCCCTTGATATTTGAGCAAAGACCTGAAAAAAGGAAAGATCTGGGAGAGATGTAAGACAAGGGTCAAGGCTGAGCAGAGTGAGCATGCCTGGTGTGTTCTAGGTGCAACTGCAGGGCAAGGTGGGTGGCAGCAAACACAGGGAGAGAATAGGGGCTGTAAACACTGTAGAGGCCACTGTGAGGACTTTGGTGGGACAGGGATGGATTGCTGTGTTTTAAACATGGTGACAGATCTCTTCTATTAAGTAATCACTCTAACTCTGGACAAGGGTCAGGAGAGGGCCTGGGAACCAAAAAGGAGTCTACTGCAATAGTCCCAGAATGACTGGACTCGGAAGGTGGCAAGTTAGTTGGTAAGCAGTGACCAGATTCCAGATATATCTGCACCTGCAAAGAGAGCCACTTGTTCTGTCGACGCACAGATAATGGTAAATATCTGCTGAACGAGCACAGCTGCTGCGAGCCTCCCCGTCAACCCTGGTCAGAATATGCACTCATTGTCCCTCAGCTTCTTCCCTCCGTGGTACCCAGACCTTCTTTAGGTAACCTCCTGACCCCTCCAAATCCTATGTATGCTTGCACAGCACATAGCCTTAGATTGAAGGAGCCTGGTGATGCTGTGGATTAGGCTGTTAACCACAGATCATTGGTTCAAACCCACCAGCCACTCCAAGGGAGGATGAGGCAGATTGCTCCTGTAGATTTACAGTCTTGGAAACCCTGGATAGGGTCACTATGATTCCGAATCAACTTGATGGCAGTGGGTTTTTGGTTTTTTTTAGCTTTGGATTTGGATGTCTGTCTCCACCATTAGGTTACAAGCTGCACTAAGAGAGAAATGATGCCGATTTGTCCAGCCCATGGCAGGAGGCCTGTCACACAGAAGATGCTCACAATCTATTTATTCATTTGGTGGTCTGTTCCCCAGGACAATTCCCTGCCCTTCCTCTCAGAACTTATATCTCTCCAGGACTGAGAGATCCCACAAGGCCTGCAAATCTTTCCCATAGAACACCTGTCAAGTTCTAGAATGACCCCCAGGCATGCCCCCTACTCCCACATAGCCAAGACAAGACAGTGACCCAAGGGTCGTTTTTTCTAAACTTTCATTTATTTTATAGCAATTGTCATGATTTGAGAAGTAAATAACACATTTAAAAACCTTCTCAGGGCCAAAGTATTTACAAATACTAGAGTGGGGGTGGGACGGTGGTAAGACATGAGGGCCTGGGGCTGGAGGCTGGGATTTTACCCTGAATCCTCCGCGGGCCACGTTTGGGCACTGATGCCAGCTCCCAGGACTGTCCCACTGGCCAAAGCATAGGCTCAAGAGCATCAAGTGGCCTTGGGGTGCTACTCAGTGGGGCCTGGTGGAAGACCCTTTATAGCTAGACCAATGACCCTGCCTCCTGACTGGGGGATTCCCCACACCCCACGGGCCAGCTCATAGGGGCCTCTGGGAAGCACCGAAGGACAGGGGGCAATGTGAGGGCCCAGGAGGTCAGGGATGACCCAGCCTGCCTAGGGTGGTACATAGACACGCACATGCGCGCGCACACAGACATACACATTATACAGTCACAGAATCGCTAGGTTTTTTTAATCTTCGTATCTACGGTGTTATTAATTTTTTGCTATTTATTTTTCTTTGACAGTAACATAAACTGAGGTAAACATCTGTGACCAACACCTCTCCTAAGGGGCAAAGGGTCCCAACGCGGCCAGTAGGAGGCAGCAGTGGGGAAAAGGCCTAACCAAGAAGGGGTGGTCCAGATATTAGTCCCGCCTCTGCCATTAGGCTGGCCACTGCCCATCTTTGGGCCTCTGAGAGAGGGGGCTGGGCTACATAACTAAGGTCCCTTCCCAACTTCAACATCCTAATACTAACACAAGGGAGAAAACTCCCAAACAGGATCTTACAGAAAGAGAGAGAGAGAGAGATAAGAGGGCGTGGACGCCTACTGAGAAATTTCGCATTGCGTCCTTGTTATTGCAGGAGAGATCAGGATGTCGAGAGGCCTAAGGCAAAAGGAGAAGTTGAGGCAGGGGCAGGTGGGTAAGGGGCAGTGGTGGGGGGGCCTTCTCTGAGAACTGGCCCGCGACAAGAAGGGTTTGCTCCTTACCTGGTACGAAGAAGGCCCCAATGTCCACTTGGGAAGGGGGGATCTCAAGAGTGGGGGCACACCGAGGAGAGGCGGGCCAGGCCCTGGGGCAACCGCACACTGTAAACTGGACCCAGGCCAGGGCAGGGGGACCTATAGCCCTTTTGCGCGGTGGAAATAAGGGGTAAGGAGAAGCTGGAGGGTGGGAGGTACCCCCTCTAGCCAGCCTGGCCATCAAGGAGCCCCTCTAATTGCCCCAGAACCCCAGGGAAGGCCCTGGCAGGGACGGCCCAGGATGGTAGACAGGACACTGCCAGGTTGCCAGCACAACTTCACCCGTGTTGAGGTTATTGTGGGTGGTGGTGTCCCAGGTCTCCACAGAGAACAGGGGTGCCGCCTCTGGTTATTGAATTAACTTGCAGGTGCCTCCACATTGGATTCCCTGAGGGGTGTGGTTTAACAAGCCTGGGGTGCCCTTCTGACAGCTGCCTGCTGAGGAACCTGGGGCGGGGTGGGGCTACTGAGGCATCTGGACACGAGGTGCACTCCCACCCCTGCGCCCTCCGCACGCTTTCGCTGTACACACACCTCCACTCCCATGGCCCTACCCCTGCACATTTCAGTACCAGGAATTTGGGAGATGTGGGAATAAGCGGGGCCAGCCCGTCTAGGAGGTTGATACTTGATCCCAACTAGGACCCCAGGAGTTCCTGGAATAAATCACCTCACTGTCTGCCGGAAGTTCAGACCACCGTGTCTAGCTAGGAGGGGCAAAGAGAGCTATGCGGGTCTGGGAGAGCCAGGCCTGGGGGAGGTAAAGTGGCCAGGGAGCTGCCCCCAACCCTGTTCTGCACTTACTCCCCTGCCCTGGGAACCTTCTGTCCACTGACTTGTCCGGACACTCATGGGAGGTGGGGACTAGAACTCCCTGTCCCCGAGGCTGAGTTGCCATTCTTCACCGGTCCTCATCAGCACGCTGGGGGCGGGGCTGTCACTAGATCCCAGGCCTGTGCTGCGCACACACCATCTTGCAGGGGGCTCCACTCTGCTCAGAAAGGGGCAGGGCAGCTGAGCAATCCCTTGTCCTCAGATGTGGCCCTGTCCTAGCTCCAGGACCCTAAGCCCTTCTCCCTCTGCCTAACACTTGGGTGCCTCTCTGTGCCCAGAGTAGGGAGGGGGCAAGGCCTGGGGCAAGCCTGCGGGATGACCTTTCTAAAGGGCACAAAGAGCCTGGTGCAACTACTCAGAATCTCTAAGGCTCGGGAGTGTTAAGCGGTCCACGCTCACAAGCTCCCTGGCTCCTGGTGTGTCTGGGGGCGCTCGTTCCTCTGGGCCAACAGCTTGCCCGCAGCCTGAGGCCTCGGGATGGGCGGGCTGCTTTCCTACCTAGTCTACACTCCTCCTCCCACCGCAGGGCGGCCGCTCGGTGGTCTCCACCGCTGCCAGAGCAAGCTCCTGGAGTGCCCACGGGCGGCCTCCCAGGCCCTGCCTGGCAGCTGCACGGCGCTCCGGGCCACGGGCGCAGGGCGGCTCAGACGCATATCTCGATGGCTGTGGCCAACACCACCTGACCTTTGCTCTTGTCTGGGCGGCCGTCGGTCCTGCCCTGGGGTCCCGGAGGGGCCAGGCCGGCCTCGGGCACAGGCACGGGCATTGGCCCGCTGGCGGGGGGCGAGGGCCGGGAGCCACTGCTGCTCTCTGTCAGCACGGTGCGTTTGAGTGGCCCAGGCGCCTCGAGGCGTAGGGGCCCAGCAGGCGGCAGGCGATCACCAGCAGTGGGCTTGCGCGCGCGGTGGGAAGGCCGGCGCCGCAGCTCGCATGTGAGCTCGTGCTTGAGAAAGCGAAAGACCTCCTTAGCCGGCCCACGGCGCTCAGGCTCAAGGGCCAGGAGGCGCTGGAACATGCGCAGCGCCGGTTCTGTGAAGCGGCGCCACTGCGATGGCAACCCAGGCAGGCGGCCCCGCTGCCAGCGCACAAACTCCTCGAAGAAGGCGTCAGCGCCCGAGGCCGCCTCCCACGGAAAGTTGCCAGTGAGTACGCAGAAGATGAGCACACCGAAGGCCCACACGTCCACGCCCGTGTCCACCGCGAAGCCGTCGGCGCGGCCTGCCTGGCACACCTCGGGCGCCGTGTAGGGGATGGTGCCGCTGACACGCTTCACACGGCAGCCCACACGGCGCGTCATGCCGAAGTCGGCCAGCTTCACGCGCCGACACTCGCGGTCAAACAGCAGCACGTTCTCCGGCTTGATGTCGCGGTGCACCAGCTGCCGCCCGTGCATGAAGTCCAGTGCCAGGCCCAGCTGCTGCACACAGCGCTTCACCGTGTCCTCAGGGAGCCCGACCTGCCAGGGGGGTAGAGCCAAGCTCAAGGGGCTGCACCCTGAGCCCACCCAGCCTCCTTCCTGTCCAGGAGTGCCCAGTTCTACTTCCCGACTGCCCTGCACCTTAGCCCCTCGTCTGGGTCCCACATCTCTGGTGCCTCAGCGCCCATTACCGAGGTACTCTATCCGGGTACCTCTCCAGTTCTCTCCGGCCTGGAAGTGCCCTGTCTTCCCCCATGCCGGCTGACCCCCACGTTGTTCCTTTACCCCAGTAACTCCGGCCTATTGTGGACCAGCGCTGTGGTAAGCCCCTGTCCTGTACAGGGAGTCACTGTTAGCCCATTTCACCCTTCCCACTTATTCCCAAACATAGCACCTGCCAACTTCAAAGTTGGTATGCTTCCCGACTCCAGGAACACCCCTCTGGAAAGCCTCTAGCCTCTCCAACCCCCAGGTGGATCTGATCCCACTGACTCTTGTATAGCCTCCTCACCCCAGTTTCTGTAGAGCCCTGTTGGCTGGTTAGTTTTGACCTGTCCTTAGCTGGTGTGTTGGAAGTATCTGTTTCTTCCACTAGAAAGAGGGCAGGACCTTTCTCTTGGTCACTGTGTATCCTCAACCCTCCAAACAGGGACTAACATGTTTGTTGTTGTTGTTAGGTGCCATCGAGTAGGTACAGACCCATAGCGACCTTATGCACAGCAGAACGAAACACTGCCTGATCCTGGGCCAACAATAAACATTTGTTGATTAAGTGAGCGGTCTGACTCCTCCACCTTTCACACTCTATGGCCCTGGAAGGCTCATCTTTCTTCCCTTGCAGAGCACCCCAGATACCTGAGGAGGGATGATGTCGAACAGGTCCCCGGCAGGTGCGTACTCTTGAGCGAAGACATAGCAGTCCTCAGTCTCAAAAACGACGTCAAAGACTTTGATAATGAAGGGGCTGGAGGAGAGGCTGTTGGTGATGCTCACCTCCCTCAGGAAATTCTTCAGCTTGGTTTTACTCTTGTTCACAAACTTCAGTGCCATTTTCATGCCTGACAAGGTAACAGCAATAGTGGGGAAGAGCCCATCTCCCCAGGTCCCTGCATCAGACATACAGCCAGGCCTGTCTCAGCCACAAGGTACAATGGGGGTCCCAGTGGGCGTGATGGTTCCCATCCTACAGGGAGGAAATGGACCCAGAGCGGGCAAAGGACTTGTCCAAGGTCACACAGCAAGTTAGGGATCAACTTGGGAAGTTGGCTGTACACCCAGCCTTCAGTCCTCTGAGGGGTGGTGGTGGTAGTGAGGACCTACTGCTTTCTCCACCCTCTCCCATTATCCTCCTGACATATTGTGTTTATCCTGTCTATCTTCTCCAACTAGAACAAAGCTCTTGAGTGCAGGCACCCCAGTGCCTAAAACCAAGTCTGGCACATAGTAGGCATCAACAAATGGATGAATGAATAAGACGAAACCAGACTCTGAGATGTGAGGGCCTGCAAGGCACGTGTCCCTGCCTCTGTTCTTAGGCAGCATCTGTACCCAAAGCCCACAGCCCTGTGATGTACACGTGTGTCCACAGAGCTTGTCCACATCACAGGGCCTGCCTTCAGCTCTTTACAACTCACTCTTCGTGATGACCCAGTGAGGTGGGCAGTAATGCTACCCCATTTTTGCCGAGAAGTATACCAAGGCACAAATAAGTAACTTGCCCAAGGCCACACAGCAAGTAAGTAGTAAAGCTGCGGTGACTGCATGTCCAGTGAACCTCCTGCTGTTTACAGGTGACACAGAAGCCCCCTGCCCCAACTGGCCGAGCGGGCACCTCTGCGAACTCTCCTGTGGACGAGGAACCAACTTCAATGGCTAAACTCAAACCCTCAACAGCTTGACCTTGGCTAAGTGACATCAGTCAGGATCTCAGTGTCCTCGTCTGAGAATGGATGCCCAGGGTCATCATGCACCACCCTTGAAGTCTGGCATCCTGTTCCCAAGGACCTACCTTCAGCTCTGTGTCTAGCTCCCTGAGACTCACCGATGGTGCTGGTGAGTCCCCGAATGCCATCACCAGCGTTCCCCTCTCCTGAGCGTCAGTGATCCTGGGCACTTGTCCTGGGCTGTCTCCCAGACATTGCCAAACAGCACCCCCCAATCTGGGCACTCAGCCCCAGGGTCCTCCCTTGCCTTAACTGCCCAGTCTCCTCCTCCTTGCCCTATCTCAGGCCTCACCACCATCAGGGTCACCACCTCCACCTCCTTGCTGACCACCTGGCGTCCACAAAGAGCTCCAGAGAGCTCCTGCCAAATCTGACTAGGCCCTCCACCTGAACCCTGCCACCCTGTGGACACTCACCTGTGCCCTTGTATGCCACCAGGTCAACCTTCCCATAGGTGCCCTTGCCCAGCTCCCGGACGAGCTCATAGTGCTTGGTGACGTCACTGGCAGCCAGTGTGCGGAGGGTCAGCGCCTGCATATCTTCCGTGAGAAGGGGCACACCAGCTCCCGGTCCAGGGGCGGCCCCTGGCCCACAGCAGGGCAAGGCGTGGGGTGGCTCAGGCTCTGGGCAGCCCACACTCATCTTCTCCCTGTTGGGGGTGTGAAACGGAGTGTGACATCAAGCCACCTCCCCCTCCTCCTACCCAGCATTCAGGATCCCAAGGGCTGGACCAGATGCCAGGCCCAATGTGACCACAAGGGGGCAACAGCAACCATCTTGGTAGCATCCCCCTTCCCCAAAGCTTCAGGGGCTAGGCCTGACCAGCAGCCAGAGTCACTGTCCACCTCCACACTTGGGTCCCAGGGCCCATTTGTCTCACAGTCATCCAGTGTCAGCAAGGAATGGCTCTGGACTAAGTTCACATCGTAGTTCTCCCGTTCACAAGTGCCCTGGGGACACAACACTGAACCAATAGCTGAGAGTTCCTGCCCTTGTGGGGCTTACATTCTAAGGGGAGATGGACAGTAAGAACAGCAAACACACGAATCAGAGATGCACACTATGACAAAAGGTGATACAAGCTGTGGAGAAAATTAAGCGGGGAGAGGAAGGGAAGGCCTGAATCACGGGGTTATTGTATCCACCACCCAATCTCAGTCAAAACTCCTTCAAGGACCCATACAATCACACAATAACATAACCAGAGCTTTATAACCCTTCCCTCTACAACAGAACACAACACAGCCCCATCAGGTACAAACAACTACAGCTGGGTCCCAGGGTCCTGCCCAGACTACTCCCCCCCCCCACCCACCCCCACCGACTCGTGTCCTACAAAGACCCAGCCCTCCTACCACATTCACAGACTGGTCCTGCTACAGCGCCTACCACAGCCCTCTGAGCTCCTGAGCTTGTCTCCAACTGACCTAGGTGCTGTCCTTCTACCTATGAGTACTAGGAACAGAGATCTACAAGGGGGTAAAGTCCAGAGCTGATTCTTTAAAGCTCCAAGTGGGGCACGGCAAGGAGCACTCCCCACCTGGAACCTCCATTTCTTGTTTGTAAAATGGGGATGGAGCATTTTCCAGGTATACAAGGATCTGTGGGTATGCCAAGTGAGACCCAGTACTGAATGCCCAATGCTTCCTCCACCTCTAAGCCTCCAGCCCCTGGACAGGTATACCTTCTCTTCATTCCCTTCTATCCTTTGCCCCAGGGTAGCACTCACCACCCGTAGCAGCCCATTGCCTGCCTTCAGCCACCTGCACACTGAAGCTCCTAGATTCAACAGAAACAAAGCATGAGTTGCAGCCTATTGGCTGGGGTCCGAATCCCAATTGGATGTCCCTAGGCAAGTTACTCCCTTTTTTTGTGTGTCAGTTTCCTCATCTATAAGAAGGATATAGTCATTGTACCTTGGAGTCCCTGAGTGGTATTAAGTTCCTGATCACTAGCTGAAAGGTTGATGAAGGCATAGGGGGTTCGAACCCACCCTGAAGTGTCTCTGGAACAGGCCTGGTAATCTGCTTTGGAAGTCACAGCCCTGAAACCCCTATAGAGCCGTTCCAAATTGCACACGTGGGGTCGCCATGAGTAGGAATCAGCTCCACACAAACATCCAGCAGTCGTTCCTTGTAGGAGCTGCTGTGAGGATCAGACACAGTAACAGCCACGTTGTGCTCTGTGTGTGTGTGTGTGTGTGTGTCAGACATCGCTGCTATCTTTATTTCCTGCATGGTCTCCTGCAGAACATGCTGGAGGCTGGAGGCTGGAGGCTGGAGGCTGGAGGCTGGGGGCAGGGGTTCTCTGTGTGGCCAGCAGTCCCCCTTCCAGCCCCCCTAGTCCCCTCTTCTGCCACCTTCCCCTTCATTCCCAGCACGACCCAGCCTCCCACTTCACAGGGAGGATAGAACGTCATAGGGAACTTCCTGGCCTCCCACCCAGCCACAAATGGAACTCCATCTGTACCATCCTCTCAGCTGGCTGGGGGAGGAGGTATCCCCCCCTCCCTAGTGTTGGCTCCCACCCCTTCTGTTTCCTCAGGAACCTGCTGCCCCCCTCAGCCCCCTTCCCCTCCATTCATGAGCAAGCTCATCTCCTCCATCCTAGTAGAACTTTCCTACCCCAGCCTTTTCCCTCTCAGCTGATTTCCACAGGAATTTACATATGTAGGAAGTCTGTCTGAAATGTCACAGTACTGCCTTAAGAGGTTAGCCTGGCTCCAGCTAGCTCATTTCAGACCCTCAGAGGGAAACTGGAGCCCAGCCTAGACATGCAGTCTCTGCCAGTCAGACATGGCACCTGCCACCACGTCTCGTCCCCTATGCAGAATGAACTGGGCTGCCATCCCCCATGAGTCTCCCAGGTTTTAGGGTTGCTGAATATCTGGATGACGTAGCTCCAGAGGGGAAATCTGAAGTAGCAGGAAGGCCTGTCTGTGGAGAGGGCAGCTGACCCATGCTTCCCTCAGGCGCTCCCCTGCTTGACTTCTCCCTCAGGTGAGCAGGCCACTGTTGGCTGTTCCTGCAACCCTAAGGTGCTTGACTGGCACATCCCTCTCTCCCACACCCTGAGACTGTCCCATCCTCCCCTGCCTCCCCCTCACAGCTGTCCTGGGTGAGTATTAGCTAGGTCAGGCAGTGGAGGTAAATGGGCCCCACACTTGTCCAGCCCATGCTTAGACAAACTACCCTGCACTGTTTCTCTGCTCTAGTCGCCCCCACCAATCCTGAACCCCATCTTGTGTGTCCTTAGGTTCCTTCCTCCGGGAAGTCTTCCTGTCTGCCCTAGTAGGTGTTGATCCTGCCTCTGCTGGAGCCCCGGGATTCACGCCTGCTGAATGTCTTAGGGTGGTCTCAGCTGTGTCTGTTCCCATTAACAGGCCCAGAGCTCCTTGGGGGCAGTCAGGGACCTGGTCAGATTCAACACCTCCAATTCTTTCTTTGGTTTCTAGGGTCATGTGTGTGGGGGTCCCCTTACTGCCCCTTATTCCTCCTCAGGATCCTTTCTCTTGGGGTCTTCCACTTCTGCCCAGTTCTCTGTAAGGTGCCAGAAGGGGGCCAAGACCTAACCCACAGCCATTCTTGTGTATGCCTGCCTCTGCTGCCTCAGATATGCTGCACGTGGCTGACCAGGTGCCTGGCGAACAGTGGAGACCACGCAGGTCACGAGGCTCAGCAGACCTGACCTTGGGCCTGAAGTGCTACTTTTCAGCTGGGTGACCTTGACTAAGTCACAGCACTTCTCCGTGCCTCAGTTTCCTCATCCATACAATGAAAAAACCAATAGCAGCTAATAAAGTACTTATTCTAAGCCAGGCCCTTTGTTTAATGCTCACAGCTCATATGAGGTAAGCATTAGTATTAGTCTCACTCTGTGTTGTTGTTGAGTAGTCATAGCGACGCTGTACAGGGTTTCTGAGGAGCGGTTGGTGAGCTTCAACCACAGACCTTGCAGTCCAGTGCATTAACCCACAGTGCCACACCAGGACCCCTTTACAGATGAGGAAAATGAAGCATAGAGACTAAGTAACTTAGTCATGGTCACAGCTAGCATTGGGACGGACTACAATATTGACACACACACATATATACATTATTGCTTTCAGTGAAGATTTACACAACAGTTTGGCTCCATCCAATAATTTTTACCTCCACAGATTGCTCAGTGATACTGGTTATAGCCTATACTCTATGAAGATTCTCATTATTTCCATTCTGGTGGTTCTACATCCATAAATCTAGTTTCCCTGCCCTCTTACAATCTCATTTTTGTTTTAGAGTTGACTGTTAGGTCTTAGTTAAATGGTTTTTTAAAAAAGAACAATTACTCATGGGTGATATTTATTTTATGACCTGTTATTTATTTAACTAAAAGGGGGTAATTTTTGGCTCAAGGTTTAGAGAATCTTAGGGCAACTGGCTCAGGAAGTCCTCAAGTTTCTGCTGGTCTAGTAAGTCTAGATTTTTACAAAGAATTTGAGGTTCTATTTCACATTTTTCTCCCATTCTCACAGGATCCAACTACTGCGGCCTTGTTCAGAACAGTCAGTGCTGGTCACCGGGCACCATCTAGTTCTTCTGGTCTCAGGGAAGATGAGGTCATGATTTGTATAAACTGTTCGTCCTGTAGGATAGTTTCTTCTCTGTGTCTTCAGATGAATAAAGACCAATAGCCAAAGGTGGTACTTTTAACCACTGTGTTTTCTGAGTCTGAATGTTGGAAATATCTCACCCAGCATCCTCAGTAGCCAGGTGGGGCCAACCAAGGTCTAATACAGAGCAAAGCACTGGCCTGGGCACTTCACATGTATTAACTCATTTAATTCTCACAGCAATCCCAATTCAGAAGATACATCAACTCTTTGCTAGGGAGTTCAAGGCCTAGAGAGTGAAGTAAGACTCATCTACCTCACTGGCACGTGTGTGGACACCCCATCAGAGGCATTTTCTCACCACTCCACACTCACTCGCAAGAGGATCTGTGGAAGTGCTGGAGCCTCTGGCTGAATTGTGGATCTGCCCACATTCCCTGCACCCCACTGTGGACCCCACTGGCCCCAACGGAGGTGCTGATCTCCCATCTGTGTTGCAGAGGGAGCCACCCAGACAGCTGTCATGGGTGTGGCCCCTGGGGTGCTCCACCAGGTGCCTGACAGCCACAAAGGGGTAGGAAGATTCCCTTCACCCTTGGTTCCTAAGCAAGAAGCAAGGCTGAACAGTCTGCCACTACCTGTTGGCAGATGGCTCTAACTGGGTGCCACTCTTATGAAAACAATGTCCGGTTCATAATATAACTCACACGCACTTTTAACTTCCCTCACCACACATATACATTCATAACCATTAACTCACACAGCCACCCTACAAAGGGTGCCAACTGAGGGAGAACTGGTAAACTACAGCATTCAGTAACTTGAGAACATCTGCAGAGTTAGGTAACTTCCATCGCAATTCAGAGATCCATGCTCTGCCTGCCTGTTGTGGTGTGGCTTCATGCAGATGACCCCAGCAGTCCAAGAGATGGTAGCTACGGGCAAGAGGAACCTTCATCCCTGAATCACATATGGAAGTCTCCTGAGCTAAGAATCATCTATTTTACACTGCTATGGAAGTGAATAACGAAGACCGTAGAAGAATTGA